AGGATCTACAGATTAGATCTACAACAGCCAAACATCTTCTGTACTTAGAGCACCTAGTAGATTTTAGATGCATTGACATAACGAAAAAAAAAAATCGTAAGAAATTAACAAAAAAATTTCCCATCTAACTGAAGTGTATGTGTATAGCATAATTAGTATATATATATACTATATGTAATATGTGGGTACGAAATCATATATAGAAATTCATATATAGCACTTTGATCACATCGTTCTGTGTTTTGTGAACTCCTCGGTGCATTTTTTTCTGTGGTTTAACAATCCTGTGTATACAAAAGATCTGTTTGTTGTTGCCATATTCAAAACACTTTATATGCAACGTGGAAAGATACACATGTTGTGATTTCAATGATTTACGCCTATTTTGCTCCCATTTCTTTGTTGTTTTAGGCTCTGCAATTGAATCACTGTTTTATGCTTTCCTAATCAGCCACTCTTTCATCGGCTGCTTCCCATGGATTACATTATGGGATTAAATTTCGTTGGTAAGATATTAGGAATGAGAACTCAAGTTTTGGAAATTGTAGAATATATGTATAAAAAAAAATACCATTTAGTAATAAACTTGGTAAATAAATCAATAATAACAAATGAGATCTTAGAGAATAATAAAATTTGGTAATAATTAAAGTATTTGGTAAAATTTGGGAATTGTAATGAATATTTAACAAATAGATAACATTTAGTAAAAAACTTGTAATAATAAAAAAAAAAGAATATAATCATTTGGTAATAATTACAAATTATTAGGTAAGAATTTTGGAAATGGTAGAATATATTATAGAACAAAAGGACAAAACTTTGCAAACTTGTGGCCCAGAAACGTTTGAAACACTGGTTTCACATAGTGAAGGGCCGAATCATAATTTCGGGAAAAGGTGTAAGTAGTATTTTCGTCATTTTCCATTGATTTTGACAGTTTTAAAAATATTAAACAAAAATCACCAAAAAGTCAACTTTTTACTCACAACTTCTCAACACCACATCCAAAAAGTCAAAAATTTGGTAAAAAATCAAAAAGTCAACTTTTACCAACTCCAAAAACAACCCTTTGTTTTAAGTATAGTGTAGGCGATACACTCATTCATGCATAGATAAGGAGGGAAAATGACCAAGATGCAGAAATTATTCTTCAACCCATAAATGGAGGTCTCAATACGATGTAGGTTTAATAGGACCTTCATGTGAAGTCTTTAATGGAGGATTTTATCTTTATTTTACACCATGGCTTTGAATAATTTTCATGTGGGTCTTACAAAATTTAAAAAGTAAGGTCACTCAATAAGTGTATGGCGAAAAGAGGATTCGCAGGGTGTGTTTATATATGTTCAATTAGTGATAAGGTTATATAAATTAGTACACTTTTTAATGTGTAGATTGAAAAAAATAATTAATAATTAAATTAATAAGTTGTGTGTGTTGAGAGGCATTGTGCACTGAGATAATAAATGGAATGTTTGAGACCACAATTTTTGTGAGCCATAATAACTAACAAAACTATCAAAACGACGTCGTTTTCAATTTTGGTAGTTTGAAGCTCATTGTGGTCACAAAAATTGTAACTCTCTAACATTGTTTTGTAATTAAATTAGAGAAATAGAATTTTTTCTAAATATTTCTAATCAAAAATTTATTATAAATTATCACATTACTTTTTTTATTTTTTTTTTATAAAAATTAAAAATTTGTTACAATAGTGGGTCGCAAGCCACCTGTGCAGGGCCTCCTCTGCTTCCACGAAGCATGTGTATTGAAGTTATTTGACCTGTGTGGAGAGACTCCAAATAAGCAGACAAACACACTACAACGAGACTTCACCGTTACGTTACCGTTACCGTTACCGTTACCAAACACCCTCTCTTCTTCTCTCTCTCACGGCGGTGCTATCCAGGGCAGGCTTCTTCTACCTCCTGCCAAGAAAACCACCTCTCTCTCTTCTTTCTCTCTCTACAAACCGCCACAAACGGAGTTCCAGTAGCCTGCCTCTCTCTCTCTCCTCTCTCCTCTCTCTCTCCTTCACTTCATTCTCTCTCTACATGTCTCTTCTTTTGACAAAGAAGCTACCAGTATAGCAAGAAAGTGAGAAGGAGAAAGAGAGAGAGTGGTGTGTGTGTTGTGGTGGAGAGAAAAGGGTTTTTTTTTTTTTTTGGGGTGTGGTAAAAATAGGTGAAATTTTGGTAAAGAAGAAGATTGAGGGATCGTCAAAAACCATTGATTCTTCACAAAATCCCACTAGGTCTCGTTGGATTCTTGGTTCGTTGAAGCTTATCCCAAACGGTACTCCCAAAGATCCCATACTTGATTCCTCTTTTTAGGCCTTGGCTTCATAGATTGGTAATATTACATATATATATATATATATATATTATATAGTACATATATATAGGGGAAAAAATCACAGATTTTATGTAATAAAGATATGGATTTGATGGGTCATGGAGATTCTTGGTTTGGGTTTAGATATAATCTTTATCTAGCTTTTTCTGATCTCCACATATAGTCAGAGATTGAAGAGAATTACAAATTTTTTGTTTCTTCTTTTCTTGATTTCTATGTTTCTTTGAATTTTAATAATTTGGGGGTTCTAAATCTAGTTTCATTTCCTTGATTTCATGGTCATATTTGCTTAGTGTATTTGGAATTTTTCTGGGTTTTATTGATTTTAATGAGGGCTTGTTGTGGGAAATAAAAATAGTATTTTGTGAAGAAGGATAGGTCTAGGGTTTTGATGGAGGTGGAGGATTGAGGAGGGGGTTTTTGGGCTGTGATATGATGAGGATAGTGGTGGTGTTTATAAGGTTGTTATTGTGTTGAATTTGCAATGAAATTTCAAAACCCACTAGTGAATTGTCCACAAACAAGACCTAGGGTGGTCATTTGAAATGGTAGATTCACTTATCACAGCTCTGTCAATGGAGAATCATCACCCCTCTACCCTTTTGTCCATGGATTCGAGCGCGTCTTCATTGCACGAGGATTTAGACCTCGAGATGAATCGCCAAGGTGTACTTACTCGTCCCCCTGATATCAATTTACCCCTATCGGCGGAGCGTAGCCCACCACCACAGCCACAGCTGTGGAGCACCGACCCCTGTGATATGCGCGATGTTGGGCTCGGTCCCCAAGTTTACGAAACTGAGAGTTTTCTCAGTGTCCCCAAGGTTGTACGGAAATGCGCAAAACGGGTAGATAGCATTTGGGGTGCTTGGTTTTTCTTTAGTTTTTACTTCAGGCCTGTTTTGAATGAGAAATCCAAGGCAAAGATTATTCGGGACAGTAATGGAGTTTCTGGTTTTGATAAATCTGATATCGAGCTTGATGTTTTCATGGTTCAGCATGATATGGAGAATATTTATATGTGGGTTTTCAAGGAAAGGCCCGAGAATGTGCTTGGTAAGATGCAACTGAGGAGTTACATGAATGGTCATTCTCGGCAAGGAGAGCGTCCTTTTCCATTTAGTGTCGATAAGGGTTTTGTTCGATCTCATAGGATGCAACGGAAGCATTATAGGGGTCTCTCGAATCCTCAATGTGTTCATGGGATTGAAGTTGTTCTCTCCCCTGATCTCATGGGGCTTGATGAAGATGAGCGGAAAAGGTGGGTGGAACTCACAGGGAGGGATTTGAACTTTACTATCCCACCTGAAGCTTACAATTTCAGTTCATGGAGGAATCTCCCAAACACTGATTTCGAGCTTGAAAGGCCACCTCCTCCAATAAAGAGTAACCCAAATCCAAATCCGAAGAAATTGCTTAATGGGTCTGGTTTGAATTTGTCAACTCAGCCATCGAACCTCAGTAATGGCGATCCAATGGACCTATCACCTGTCAGCAAGAGGCATAAGGACCTTTTCCAACATGGGAACGATGACGAATGTTATTTGGCTGTTAATCCTCCTCCTGATCGTGGTCCGGACATTGAAATTCACCCTCATGAGCCACACTGGTTGAATGACTTCAGTGGGGTGATGAGGAATGTTTATGGGCCTGTCACAGCTGCAAAAACAATCTACGAAGATGAAGAGGGTTATTTGATCATCATAAGCTTGCCCTTTGTGGATCTTCAAAGGGTGAAAGTTTCTTGGCGGAACACCCTCACTCACGGGATCATCAAAGTTTCTTGTTTGAGCACTTCTCGAATGCCATACATCAAGAGACACGACAGGACTTTCAAGCTTACAGATCCATCTTCAGAGCACTGTCCTCCGGGTGAATTCGTTAGGGAGATCCCACTTTCAACCCGAATCCCCGAAGATGCTCATATAGAAGCGTATTATGATGGACCAGGAACGGTGCTAGAGATTATGGTGCCGAAACTCCGCGTGGGCCCAGAAGAACACGAGGTTCGTGTTTGCCTTCGCCCTCATCTGGGGACCAATGATCTTATGTTGACCTGACCAGGGCATATGTGTAGGGGTATTTGATATGGGTGGTGCTTCATTGGTTTTACTAACTTTGTACCATACAGTGTAATCTATTGGACAAAATGTGCATCTTACATTTTGCCATTTTTAATATTAGGTCACTAATTGCTATGGCTTTTGTTAACCATGCATTTGGTTGGCTTTTGATTGTATTCACTTTTTTAGTGGTATTATATATTTGAATTGCTTGTTCAAATCTGTTTTTATTCTACCATTTTCTAGTTCAGTTACAAACTGGGGACATTTTTTGGGTGTTCCTGAAACTTGACTTCATTTTTAAACTTTTAATGACAATGAAATTGGAAGGATCCTTGCCAGTTGTCTTCTTTTCATGGAAAACAACTAATATTTTCAACGACTGCTCCCTCTGTCTCTCTCTCTCTCCCTCTCTCTCTCTGTGTGTGTGTTGACGAGAAATCTCTCTAAGGTAAGTACTTGGACCGATTCTTTCAGATTAAACTTAAATACTTGCAGCAGTCACCTGTAAATTATGTCTATTGATGAAGATGGGTCAAACTTGTACAATTCATTCCAAGGCATATCTTTTCACCAATGTCCTTTGTTGTTGGACAACCACCTCTCTCAGGCAAAGTCCTTGGAGGACCGTTCTTCCATAATAAACTCATAATACTCACAATCATGTCTAAAGTAGGTATATCAATTAAGACTGGATTTAATCTATTTAGGGCACACCCTTTGACCACTGATTTGTTACCTGTAGGCCATGTTTGTTTGGGTGGATATGAGCTTGAGATTGGACTAATTGAGACTAATAGTCCAATAAAATATTAATCCGAGTTTGTATAAACAATTGAAGTAGGGACTAATTTTTAAACTTATGACTAATTAGTTAAAGATAGGATACACTATCCATACGGTTCGTAACCTTTTTTTTATTTTTCCTAACTATAGTCATGCGAATGCTAATCCAGTCACGACGCCAACAAATACATGGCCGTTAAAAGTATGTATGCTAAGCCAAGACGGATATAACATGAAGATGATTGTCAACTTAACGGCTTAACATTATGGGTATTCTACATAGGGCAGCACCCTTTTACCACTGAATTATCAGTGCAATGTGTTTGTAAATCCAAACCCCTTTATCATTCTATTAAGATGTATTTTCTCTTTATCTTAGCATATGCTGTATTAGCTTATAATATGCACACTTTGGAAAGCCTGTGTCTAGTGATGGGATGTGGATTCTTAGGTAAGTCAACAAGTATTAGATGATCCATTGATCTTGAAAAAGAGAAAGAAGAAAGAGAGAATATTGATAAGCTAATAAGCAAAGGGAAAGTTTTTAGATATTCCTATAATAAGAACTTACTTTTTTCATAATTAGATTTGATTCATAGGAGCTGCCCTATGTGCTGTATTGGAAAAGGTAAGAAATTGGTTTTTTTGGCTTTTTTACAAAAAAATAGGTTGCTTTATGGATAAAAAAAAAAAAACAAATGACTTTTTTGACTAAAAAAACTAAAAAAATCAAAAAATTAGTTTTTTACATGTTTAAAAAAAAAACCCTATATATATATATATATAATGATGGCGGACACATTAGTCACTTACTGGAGCCAACAGATAGTGTGGCCCACTTTACAGGAAATGGAACCATAATTGAAGAAACACAACTGTATATGATGTTTTTGATCTGCGAAAGGAACTGAGCAGAATCTGGCTTTATGTTGTTCGTGGAGTCCTACTCAAATGTTGTATGTGTTTTGCATGGAAGTGAATATGGGTTTGACGAGAAAGAATTTATCAGTAATGTTTAGCAGATTTTAAAAATAGAGTATTTTAAATTTATTTACTATGACTGAAAGTCGAGAAAAAATAAGCTTTAAATACGTAATTTAAATTATTTACCATGACTGATGGAGTTACGTGTTAAGTATTAGTTGATATTTTAAAAGGTGGGTGATACATACACTAATTAATATAAACAACTAGTGTATTAACTATGTTGTATACTTGTAGACATATTAGTTGCATCCCCTTATTTTACAAATTACAAATATTCAAAAACATTTTAAAATTATGTCACATCATATGTTAGTATACTAATTGTTACATTAATTATACAATATAGTATTATTCCCATATTTTAAATAATTAATATTAATTGATAGGAAACCGCTTCACACGTTTATCTAGAAGAGTAATTTAAATAGTGAGTTTAGAGACTTTAAATATTTTTGAAAAAATATTCATTTTTTAGGAATTACTATTGTTGACACATGCCACTGAGTAAACTACCAAACACCAA